CATTTCCTGTTATGGTCAGAATGTAGGTTGTGGTAAAGAGTGAGAAGAAGAGGCTCTGAATCTGCCACTCAAAAGAGAAACCTAGGAGTATAAACTCACTCACAGAAGCATAACTGGAGTCTGGCTTGGAGACATTCATTGGATCAGTAATCTGCAAATTTAAGAGAAACATTATCATCAATATGAGTCTTTTAAAATGTGTGAATTTTTTAGGAATGAAGAGAAGGAGGGCCAAGGGCATGCCATTTGCAGAAAAAGACCATCCGTTAAAAAAATAATTTATTCCACCCTTTCTTGACCATATACCCAGTTTCTTGTCAGAAACCAACTTTTTTGCCTACTTCTGAGCCTCTCTCTCGCTGCATGGCCACGAAAGAAAGAAGCGAAGTTAAATTCATTTTTTAAGCATGTTGGTTTGCGTCAGGGACGATCTATGATAACTTCTGGCAAGGACTGAGCACAAAATTAGCACTTAGTAAATGTATTAGCTTCTTAATTAAACCCATCTTATCATGCAATAGAGCCAGGAAAGGAGATTTTAGGTACAATATGACTATGTGCATCTCAGTTCGAGGTCTTACTTGTGTTCTATAAAGATGCAAAGGAAGCAGATATCTTTTGGAGTAAAATGGCATTCCTTTAAAGTGAAATAGCTTGTTGTTGCCATCAGCGTCATACAAATGTAATTGCATACGTTACTTACCAGCACTGACCATGAAGGTTGTGATGTGGCAATACTTCTGTTAATAGCCATGGTCGAACGTTTATATTTTATCTTCCACGTTTAAAGACAATTTCAAAAGGAAAGATAAGTAAAAAGCTTCTTTATTTTTTAAAATTTCACTTGCTCTCTAAATATTCAGGATTGATTTTCCTTATGTGAAGTGCAAAATGAAACAAAATTCACATGACTGAATCTGGGTGATAGAAGTCCAATCCTTTTTTAATCATGAGTAAATGCTCTTCATTTCCCATCTCATGGAAAAGATATGGGGTATCAGGCATTTGGTGAGTTTGGTGAGGTTTTTTGGTGTGTGTTCGGTAATAAATATCCCAGAGACTCTGAGTACTTAGGTTCTGAGCACAAACACAGAATTTTCAAAATGATTTCTTCTTCCAACATTCTGTCCACTACACTGCTCTGGGGTGTCCTTTGAAATGGCAAAGTGGAAGCTGTTTGTGCTTCATCCAGTAACATATATCTCTATTTAAAATATCCTAAATTAGGAGCATTATGAAACCCTCATTAAGAAATTATGCAATGAAAGGGGGTTGGCACATCGATGTCAAAAGCCTCAACAATGCTCAAAAGATGATTGGGATCAAATCCCTAAAGGAGCTGTTTGAGGAATCATATGGCTTCTGTCTCCTGCCAATAGAGTTTTATTACTGCAAAAAAAAAAATTAAGAATGTTGTTTCTCCATCACATATTCACCTGGGACTTGACTTCTACAGCTTAAAAATCTATAAAAGTTTAATGATTTCATGCTCTCTGAGGAATAAGGTTCAAGGCAAAATTTTGTGGCACGATTGTTTGCAATAAGTTCAATGCTATTCTGATCCAAATACCATCATCTTTCTGCAAAGAATGGGTAAAACTGATTA